TATTAACAAAAATCACCCATTAACACCCCTCCTATCCCTACCCCCTACCCTATATTCCCCTTTAACAACACACTCACCCCCATATTTTCCTTTTCCCCCCTTCTTCCCCTCTTACAAACCTTCCAAAACCCACCCTCAACACTCCTCATAACCCCCACAAAACCCCCCCTAAAAATCCCATTACCCACATTCCATCCCATACTCATAATCTTATTAAAAATCAACCCCCTATCCCCCCTCTTCCTCTCCCCTCCCATCCATCCCCCAACTCTCCCAACCCCCCCCAATAAAACCCCAACCCCCTTTAACTTACACACCCAATATCTCAATAATCCACACTTCTCCTCCTCATACCCCATAACACACATAAACACCCCCTAACCATCCCCCCCCCCCCTTCCTATAATCACCCCCCCCTTCTCCCCCCCCCCTAAATTACTAAAATCAACTTCACCCCCTCCCCCTCTTCTCCCTTCCCCCAAAACTTACATCCACCCCCAAACTCAAACTCCAACACAACTCCAACCATTAACCCCCCCTTCCTAATACCCCCTACTAATCCACTACCACCCCCCACCCCACCCCCCCCCCCCCTCCCCCCCACCCCCACAACCACCCCCACCTCACCCAATATACCCCTCCACCACATTCTACAACCCCACCATAATCCACATACCCCCACCCTATACCCACCTTCTCTTCCCCCCAAATTCCCTTTTCATACATCCATACCCCCCTCATATCTCTCAATCTCCCATCCTCTATCCAAACCTACCCACCATCATCCCATCTCTAAAAACCCCTTCAACACCCCCCCCCAATCTATCATCCCCTAAAAACCAAACCCCCACATAAAAATTTAACCCCCCCCCCCCCCCAACATCCCCATATCCCCCCCACAACTTACCCCCAACCAATCCCACTCAAATAACCCCCACTCCCCCTCCAATTTCCACCCCCCCCCCCTAACCCCCTCATCATATATTATTCCTTTCCACTCCTTTCACCTTATCCACCCCCCTTTTCCCTTTACCTTCTCCTAAACTCCCCCTTCCTCCCTATTTCCCCCCCCCATTTCCACCATATATTTACCCCCCCAAACATCTAATCCTCACTCTCCCCCCTCTCTTCCTACTCCACCTACCCCCATACCCATCCCAACTCATTTCCTCTTTTATTTCCTCTTTATTTCAATTTTCATTCATCTTCATTTCATCATCATTCCATTTCAATTTCATTTCATTTATTCCCACCCGATTCACCCCCCCCCCCACCCACCAACCCCTCCCCAACCAACCACCCAACAACCCACAAACCAAACCCACAACCCCCCTCCACACACACCCCCCCCCCCCACACACCCCCCCAACACCCCACACAACCCCAAACCACACCCCCAACCCAACCACCCCACCAACCCCCACACCAACCCCACCCACCCCCCCAACAACACCACCAACAACCCCACACACCCCCCCCCACAACCCCCCCACCCACCCCCCCCCCCCCCCCCCCACACCCCCCCCCACCCACCCCCCCCCCCACCCCCAACCCCCCCCCTCCAACACCACCCCCCACCCCCCCCACACCACCCCCCCACCCCACCACCCCCCCCCCCCCCCCCCCCCCACACTCCCCCAACAATAAACCCCCACCCCCCCCCCCCCCCCCAACCAAACCACCACCCAAACACTACACCCCCCCACACCCCCACAACCCAAACACACACCAACACCAACACCACCCCAAAACCCCAAAAAAAACCCCAAAACACCCCCCCCCCCCCCCCCCCCCCACCCCCCCATCCCAAAATTCCCCTCCACACACCCCTCACCCCCTCTCATTCATCACACCCACCTCCCCTTATTTTTCCCCCTTTACACTACCCCCCCCCTACAAAATCTCCAAAAAATTTACCCCCTCTTCACCCCCCTTCCCCCCCAACATCCTTCCCCCAACAACCAAAAATATAAATTATCCCCCCTCAAACCAACTAACCCCACCCCTCCCCCCTTCAATTTCAATTCCCACCCCCCTTAAAAGTCCCTTACCAACCCACCCTTCATAACCAACTCCTAAACCCTCTCCTTACCCATCCTCCCCATCCCCCCCATACCATAAAACAACACAAACAAAAAACAACCAACAAATTACCAACACCTACAACACTAATCCACCACACACACAACACCACACCCCCCCAACACCCCAATTACCCCTTCCCCATCTCACTAACAAATACCCCCCCCAACACCCCCCCTTCACCCAATTCCTCCCCACCTCACCCCCACCCACATCATTTTCATTCTTCTTCCCCAAAAATTACCCCCACACCAATTAACACCAAATTAACATATCACAACAAAATTACACACCACAAATACAACACAACACCACACTTACTCCCCCATTAATCACACATTCACAAAATTACACCCAATTACACCAACACAACACCCATTAAACACCAAAAAACAATCAACCCCCCAAACTACACCCCAACACACAAAACATCAACAAAATTACCACCATACATTACAAACACCACACCCCCCATAAATCTAATTCTCTCCTTCAAAACCCTAATTAATATACCTCCCTATTTCAACTCTCAAAACTCTACATCTACTCTTTCCCCAAATACCATCACAATCCCCCCTCATCACCTACATCAAATCTAATACAAATTACATTTCTCTTCCTCTCCTCTATCCCCCCCCAACACAAATCCTTCCCTAAAACAACTTCCCACATCCAAAACCATCTTCCCTACCCCCCCCCCCCCTAAACTACTACCATCACACCTCACAGCAACCCTATAAATCACCCAAATCTACTTCTTATAAAATTAATAAGCACCTCCCATCCCTCCTTAAAATTCATATCCCTTCCCCCACACTTCTTCTATATCCCCCTCCTCTCTCCCCTCCATCATATCCCTTCATTCCCCCCTCTCGCTAAATATAAATATCCACTCTCTCCTCTCTTCTTCCTAATTCTCTCCCTCTATCTATCATTTCTCTCTCTCCTCTCTTCTGTCCTCTCCTCTATACATTCTTACCATCACTCCCTCTTCACCCCCCTCCTTCTACCTCTCTCTCTGTTCATCCTTTCCCTCCCCCTCTCTCTCCTCTCCTACCCCTAACTCTCCCATTACATAAACTAACCCCCGTAACACAAACCGAATAAATCATACAATAATAGGCAATATACCTCTTCTTCTTCTTTCCCTGTCGTGTCACTCCCCCTTCAACCCAACACCTTCCTTCCCCCATGCTTCCATCATCCGTTGTTTATCATCTTCCCCAATCGACACACCACACCTGCTCCGCTGCCCAGCTCCCACCCCCTCGTATATGATTAGACAACAGTGATTATGACTAGCTTACCATTATCCCGTTTTCTTACCTCATTCCACACATTACTATAAAAAAAGAACTGTCCCCATCCAGCCCAAACGTAAGAAATACTAACCAGACCAATACAAACCAACTATAAGTACACCACCCCAATGATCATTATGCATCCACATAATAAACTGAATTTTTTTGGTAACAAACAAATCATCTTAAACACCTCTCCCCTATGAGCTCCCATCTCTCTGCTGATCCCAGAGCTGACGTGAATAGACCTAGATATGCTCAGTAGATCGGCCCGCACGCTCTCTATCCTATATTACCAGATATGCGCCCCGCGATATGATCCTAGGAGGAAACCCCCAGAGAGCTCTCCATATTGTCCAGCTAAGAGAGTGAGGGCCAAGTTTTAGACAGATTACAATGAAATCCTACGCACAACCTCACACAATGAAAAAGATCCCTGAACCGTGCATGCGCGTGATCCATCCTCTTCCTTTTCATCCTTACTATTCCTACTTTACACTTCACCTCCTATTTCCCTACCTTCAACCCTTCCTAATTTACCTTACCTTCCTATTCTTCATTCTTTTTATCTTCTTCTACTCCTCTCCTCCCCCTTTCTTCCTCCCCACCTCTCCTCATATATAATTATTATCTACCCCTCTACCTCTAATCAATATTACCAAAACATACATCTCCTCCCACTATTACCTCCCCCCTTCTAAATCCACCTCCAAATTACATCCCCCCACACCCCCCAAACCCATCCCCTTTTTCTTACTTTTCCCTTTACATCCATATACATAACATCTCCCATCAAACACTATTTACACCCCACCAATATTACCATTATATATAACCTATATAAAACCCAACTACCCTATCAAATTTAACCACCCATAACCTCTTACCTTAAAATATACACACTCCACTTCCATACTATTCCTCTTCCCTCACACACTACCTATCCCATCTCCACCACAAAAAACCCCTATCTATACCCTATATAATAATTAATCAAAATTCAAACCTATTACCCCCTATCCCCCCTTAAATTTACCAAAAAAACAACAACAACCCACCCCTTAAATAACCATAAATCTATTATACTAAAACAACCTAAAACATCCCCTCATCCCCCCACACCCCCCCCAAATACCCCCTCTATCTACATTCCCCAATACATCTCCCACCCCACTACCTCCCCCCCTAACCCCTAACCATATAAATAACTCCTCACCCCCAAAAATCCCCTCCTACCTAATAACTCCCCTCCTCATACATCAAACCCCAACCCTCTCACAACATCCTCTTTCCTCCTCCATTTTTCCCCATTCCAAACCCCTTCTCCATCCTCTACCTATCACCCATCACCCTCTCAACATCAATCCTTCCCTCCCACCCCCTCCTCCTACCACCATCCTCCCCAAATATAAAAAACTCCCTATTTAAAACAAAACCTAAACCCATCTAAACCCCACACCCACACATCCCCTCAACCCCCCACCAAAAAACAACCATTCACCATACTCCATATACATAACCAACCTATACCATTTTTCTCATACCCAATAAATTAAAAAACCCCCCCCCCATTACCACACACCTTACCCCAAAATTACAACACAATTACCTCAAACATTACCCCCCACCCACAATCCCCACACCCCAAATACCCACACCACACACCCCAATACCACATACCCTACAACCATTCCCCCAAACATTAACACAACATTACCACACATTAACCAATTAACAAATTAACAAAACCATACACCAAACTAACCCCATCTTAAATACCCACCCCCCTCCCCCCACCCAACTCTCTTCATAAAACACCCTATCCATATTCCATATAAATCAACAATTCATTCTTCTCTCCTATCACCTACTTACCCACACCTAACACTTTTCCCATAACTCACCCCTACTTCCAAAATCCCCCCAACCTTCTCCCCCTCCCCCACACCCCCTCTACCCTCCTTTCCCCAACATCCTACACCCCAAAACCCTCCCAATCACCCATATCCTCCATCCCCCCCTACCTTATTCATTATTTACGTAACACTCCATTATAAATCACCCCCCCCCTATACCCCTCCACTCCCTCATTCTTCCTCATCCACCTACCCCCCAACCCCCCCACCATCCATAACCACCAAACTTCAACCCCCCCTAAACACCAACTCTCCCACCCCCCCCCACACCTCTCTCCCCCCCCCCCCCATCCCCACCCCCTCTCATCACATAATAATCTTCACCATACAATTTACTCCTTTTTCTTCCCCTTACCCCTATAATTAACCTCCTTACCCTCCACCTACTTCATTTCTTTTCCTACCCCTATCCCCAACCCTATAACCACCCACCCCCCAACCCCACCAACCCAAACTCCTAATCCCCTAAATCGCATCTAGCCCTTCACCCGTCCCTTCTAGCCATCTCTACCTCTCTCTCTCTCTCTCCCATCTCCCTCCACTCTCTCTCCCTCTCTCTCTCCCCCTCACTCATCCCTCTCTCTCCTTCTCTCCCCATCCTCTCACTCTCTCCCTCTCCCCCCCCTCCCTCCTCTCTCTCCCTCTCTCCTCTAATCCTCCCTCTATTCCATCTCTCTCTATTCTATCTCAACCCTCCCTCTCTCCCCCCTCTCTCCTCCCTCTTCTCACTCTCTCCTCTCTCCCTCTTTCTCTTCCTCTCTCCCTCCTCTCTCTCTCTGGTCTCTCTCTCTGGTCTCTCTCTGGTCTCTCTCTGGCATCTCTCTGGTCTCTCTCTGGTCTCTCTCTGGCCTCTCTCTGGTCTCTCTCTGGCCTCTCTCTGGTCTCTCTCTGGTCTCTCTCTGGCCTCTCTCTGGTCTCTCTCTGGTCTCTCTCCCTAATGGTCTCTCTCTGGCCTCTCTCTGGTCTCTCTCTGGTCTCTCTCTGGCCTCTCTCTGGTCTCTCTCTGGTCTCTCTCTGGTCTCTCTCTGGTCTCTCTCTGGTCTCTCTCTGGTCTCTCTGGTCTCTCTCTGGTCTCTCTCTGGTCTCTCTCTGGCTCTCTCTGGTCTCTCTCTGGTCTCTCTCTGGTCTCTCTCTGGTCTCTCTCTCTGGTCTCTCTCTGGTCTCTCTCTGGTCTCTCTCTGGTCTCTCTCTGGCTCTCTCTGGTCTCTCTGGCTCTGGTCTCTCTGGTCTCTCTCTGGTCTCTCTCTGGTCTCTCTCTGGTCTCTCTCTGGTCTCTCTCTGGTCTCTCTCTGGTCTCTCTCTGGTCTCTCTCTCTGGTCTCTCTCTGGTCTCTCTCTGGCCTCTCTCTGGTCTCTCTCTGGCCTCTCTCTGGTCTCTCTCTGGTCTCTCTCTGGCCTCTCTCTGGTCTCTCTCTGGTCTCTCTCTTGGTCTCTCTCTGGTCTCTCTCTGGTCTCTCTCTGGTCTCTCTCTGGTCTCTCTCTGGTCTCAATCTCTGGTCTCTCTCTGGTCTCTCTCTGGTCTCTCTCTGGCCTCTCTCTGGTCTCTCTCTGGTCTCTCTCTGGCCTCTCTCTGGTCTCTCTCTGGTCTCTCTCTGGTCTCTCTCTGGTCTCTCTGGTCTCTCTCTGGCCTCTCTCTGGTCTTTCTCTGGTCTCTCTCTGGTCTCTCTCTGGTCTCTCTCTGGTCTCTCTCTGGTCTCTCTCTGGTCTCTCTCTGGTCTCTCTCTGGTCTCTCTCTGGTCTCTCTCTGGTCTCTCTGGTCTCTCTCTGGTCTCTCTCTGGTCTCTCTCTGGTCTCTCTCTGGTCTCTCTCTGGTCTCTCTCTCTGGTCTCTCTCTGGCCTCTCTCTGGTCTTTCTCTGGTCTCTCTCTGGTCTCTCTCTGGTCTCTCTCTGGTCTCTCTCTCTGGTCTCTCTCTGGCCTCTCTCTGGTCTTTCTCTGGTCTCTCTCTGGTCTCTCTCTCTGGTCTCTCTCTGGTCTCTCTCTGGTCTCTCTCTCTGGTCTCTCTCTCTCTGGTCTCTCTCTGGTCTCTCTCTGGTCTCTCTCTGGTCTCTCTCTCTGGTCTCTCTCTGGCCTCTCTCTGGTCTTTCTCTGGTCTCTCTCTGGTCTCTCTCTGGTCTCTCTCTGGTCTTTCTCTGGTCTCTCTCTGGTCTCTCTCTGGTCTCTCTCTGGTCTCTCTCTGGTCTCTCTCTGGTCTCTCTCTCTGGTCTCTCTCTGGTCTCTCTCTGGTCTCTCTCTGGTCTCTCTCTGGTCTCTCTCTGGTCTTTCTCTGGTCTCTCTCTGGTCTCTCTCTGGTCTCTCTCTGGTCTCTCTCTGGTCTCTCTCTGGTCTTTCTCTGGTCTCTCTCTGGTCTCTCTCTGGTCTCTCTCTGGTCTTTCTCTGGTCTCTCTCTGGTCTCTCTCTGGTCTCTCTCTGGTCTCTCTGAGCTTTAATCCTCAGGAACAATAGAAACCAGAGGTCGTTCTGAGATTACAGCTGTGTGTGGTCAACACACACACACACACAGACGAACACACAGACACACACACAGACACACACACACAGACACAGACACACACACACACAGACACACACACACACACACAGACACACAGATACACACAGACACACACACAGATACACACAGACACACACACACACACACACACAGGTACACACACACACACACGCCTGTTCTGCGGCCTCCTCAGCCACACCTGGGAGAGGCCTGTGTTGTCACATTCGTCAGGGTTTGGGGATTGTCTAAAGAATCCTAAAATAACCATTAGTGCATTTAGAGGCCGCTCCTGCTGACGGGACCAGACGGGACCAGACTGAACCAGACTGAACCAGACTTAATTTGGGGCCGAATCCACAGGAGACAGTTTAAACAGTTCGTTTAAAAAGACTCCTACTCTCTCTCAGATTACAGTCATCAAAAGAACAGTTCAGCTGTTTATGTAGACCTGAGACCAGGACCTGAGACCAGGACCTGAGACCAGG